AACGATCTTTCATCTTTTTGATATTTAACGTAGAATTGCGTCGATAGAAAGTTGTCCACGAAAATGTAAGAGTAATTTTTTTTTTTTAATAATAGTTGCCGGTTGGAAATCTGTTCTTTTCATTCTGACTCTAGTGGTCCACAGTCACAGTAACGTGTAACGAAATCGATCAACCACTATATAGATACGTATGTATACTCATTGTTCGGCTTACCGATCACGACGAGGTTGTCTTAATTTGACAGTTTCATGGCAATCAGCTTCGTTACACCGTAGATCTGTATATACAGGTATAATAACGAGTAGCGACCTTCGTGTCGATTGATCGTGACGAGTTTTTCCATGAAACCGAAATATCGGTGCACGCGTTACCGATAATATATCGACTAGTGATAAATAATTATTTGGAATTAAAAGGCAACGAGTGCATCCAATAACTACTGAGAAAATGTGAATTTCCTGATAATCGAAGAGATTTGGAAATTTCGTGAAAATTTTGTGGTTTTACTAATTCTAATGTCAATAACTACTCTGTGCTTCCATGCAGTAATGGCCTCCTGTCCAGACCGGTAAATAATTAGAAATCCACATTGGCTGTTTCACAAACTCGTGGCTGCAGTTTTTTTTGGCGCCAAACATTCCATTCTTATATACTTGAATAAAGGTACCGTTCGGGGCAGGGCTTCCATATGGAGATACACATGTAAAGTGTCTTTCACACCGTATAGATAATTGTCACTTAGCTGTATTAGACTATGAAAAAATGTTCTTTCGTGGCGAAAGCACATAGTGGATCTTGTTCCAGATTTCTTTGGTTTTCCACTGAACTCCTTTTTTCATCGTTCTCTCTCTCTCTCTCTCTCTCTCTCTCTCTCTCTTTCTCTCTCTTTCATCTAGCGTAGATAATTCGAATGTCTGAACATTGCTAACCGTCATAAATGCGTGTAATTCATCAAGGTTTCACATTCTTGTTGCACAGTTGGACACACTGGAAAGATACTATTCTGTGTCTCTCCACGAATTTATTTTTTCCTATTTCAAGCTCAACGACATTCTAGCCGTAGCTTCTGCGCATGCGTCAACCGACGCTCTAGCGGGTACGCAGTGCGGCTCGATTAATTCAAAAGTTCGCGTCGGTGCTAATTGTACGTCTAACCATTCAAAAATGAAAGTTGCCCTCGCAAAGACTTTTTCAATTCCCGCCGATCGTGCTGACGCATACGAGCCACTGAAACGTTAAATAAATATAATATCGTTCTAGAAATGTATGAAGACTAGCGCGTCAACTGAATAACACACGAAATATAGTTCATTCTGTTTTGCAATACTGGGTGCGTAAGGAAACAACGTATATCCCTAGGCTACGAATCCACATGTGTCAAATTCGATATTGTATTTAAATGAAGGTAAGATGTGAATCTTTGTAATTATTCCAATGTGTCGCTACGTGCACAGGTTCGATCTATGGTGCTCAGTGATCTATCGGCTCAGGTGCTACGATCTATGGTTAGCAAGAATTTCTATCAGGTAACACAAACATCTTTTGTCGGTTTAGTATCTTTTATGTACTTTGATTTCCTGCAGATCTGCATTCTTCGCGAAGAAAAATTTCGATTACGTTCTCCGCTTGGGCTTTTTCGAGTGCAATTTGAAAAATGGTTTTCCAAAAATCAATCAAAAGGAAGTAAACTTTTCGACCAAGCAGCAAAACCGGTATTAACAAAAAGTCACGGTAATTCTTATAAGAGAATCCTTTTTCATGATTCTCCGTCTTTTTTAAATCTTTTTTCCCAAAAAATCAAAAACTTTCTGAAGTCCGTAATGTTTCGCGTGGTTATCCGAGGAACCTGTTATCTATTTATATGCTCGCAGCATTACTGCAGAAGGTTGCGTGACTTTATCCACGAGTTTAAATTCCTCCAATTGATCGTACGTTAACACAGTAACACCCGATTTCGTTTTAATGAATAATTTTAAAAAATCTATTTTTCAATTTGAATAACTTTAATGGAATCTGTCAACAGCGAAGGATACCGCTATTGAGAAATAAAGTTCGACAAGCCAACCTCGAGACCGATTAAGGCGTTTCGATTGTCCTAATTCCATCGAGCCCCTGTCCAAAGGATCAAGAACCTTATGGAGAACGCGTGACGGGTCTCATGTACCATTATCAAAGGACTTCTCACAATTTAACGCACAATACCCTATTATAACGAGCTTCTTTCACAAAGTAGGCAAATTATCCTTCAAATTATCCCATTCAATTACAGGCTACCCTTACTTAAACAAAATTCGCCAAATAAAATATTTTCAAAAGAATACGTGTCATGGTCTTTCCTCCGCGACCAAAAAAAATTATCTCCCCATTATTATTCTCAGGAGGTTCGCGCTCGTATGACCAAATTCCAAAATTCGACTGATCCATTATTTTTTTTATTCGTCACCAACGTTTCTCTGCACGAAGCAAGACCTGATTGTTTTAAATTACTATCAATAAGTACGGGCCGATACAGGAACATACGTCTCATCTCGTAGCGGCTAACAAGAAGCTCCCTTCTTCTTTCTCCTCGTGGCAAGTAAGCATTCGAAACGACAGATCGTGTAAAGTGCAGCGGTGGTGGCGGCCTTAAGGCCCCTCCTGCTAATAAAAGCCGCTCACTAAGCGCAGCCACACAGACAGTCACAGAATAGTCGAAGAGCAGGAGCTCGCGCAGCTCCGCAGCCTTTTAGTTTCGAGGTTTAAAAACGTTTACACGAAAGTGACGGGACTGTGTGTGGTGAGTTCGGGCGGATATAAAAATAACGCAATAAGTTATACGTTATCACAATAAAATTCCTCTTCATCATCTTCATCATCCTCCAATGTTTCGTCGACTATGTACTTCTAACCTCTGAATCTTGATCGTGTTTAAAAAGTGCGCCAGTCCACTTTCTTTTTTTTTTCTTCAAATCACGAGTGAACCTATGGAAAGAACTTTTTTTAAAATTAAAAATGTACAAAAAAATATGTTATTTATTTATAGCCAAAAAAATATGAAATACAATACTTATCAGAGAACTATGGTGACAATGAGACGATACATATGTTCTATGTGTTATCCAGACTTACGGTCGGAAAAAAATGTCGAATTTTGGTAAACTTCGATTTTGAATTTTTTTACCGATAGCTACCTATCGCTTTCTCAATGTAACGTCGCGAATACCAGATCGATCTAGAAACTATCGAACGTTCTTTTTCATTAACTTTCCCAGAGCATCGCGTTCGGATACGAACCATCGAGTAAGATTTGCTTCGGTAGCTTTCTCATGGGATTAACTTCACATAGCATCGTTTTACTTTATTCGGATAACAATAGTAAATTGTAACCTAGTCACGACCATAAGAGCTTTATCGTCGTACCGGTTGCGATGACAGAGTCACACATGTTGACCTCCGAATTGCAACACGGCGCACGATCGTCCTCCATCTCGATGCATGTGCGCTGAATCCATATTGTTTTATAATGCCATTAAAGTCACGATCATGTGTATGGGTCTGAACGATTGTCAATAAAAAAGTTGCTAATAAAAAACGTTAATATAGAATAAACAAACGAATTAATTTGAGGTCGTGAGAGATAATTATTTAAAAAATTAGCAGCGTGTACAAAATAAAGCCAACTGGATAGCCTCCCTTGTATGAATGATCAGTTTTGGAAAATTTGTCATTCCAAAATTTCCTGTCGAAAATAACTTATAACCCGAGATTATCGAAAAGCTCTTTGCTCGCAATGGAATCTCTACAACTTTCGATTCACGCGTCGAAAGTAATAGTTGAGCGAGAAAGAGGCCAATACTGACCCCCCGCTGCCCCCCCCCCTTGTAATCACCATACCCCCTCACTATACCTTTTGACAGAGTTGAGTCAATCCTTTCGAATTGCTTCCGCTTTGATTCGCTGTAGTATGTCAAAGGCTTCAGACCCTTATATGGTGACATTTTTGGATACCAAAATATTCCCTTGTACCTTTTCTTTTATTACGTTGCATACCTGACTTGCCTAACAGTCGTCATAACACGTGAGATAACAAGATCACGTGGATGTAAAAGAAAAAAAAATTGTTGCAGAAGTACTTTTTAAGGAAACGAAGACGATGAGGTGCTCGACTGTCATATTGGTTGCTGCGCTTTGCGCCGGCTTTGTAAATTCACTTCCGCTTCCGGAAGGAGAAGGACTCCAATCACAGGTGAGCATCAACCATTTAATAACTGTTAGACACGTGATATTTACATACTGTAATTAGAATCATTATAGGGGGTCGGTAGTGTAAGAGTATACATGTATAAAGGACATTGAGAAAATAATACAATGTCCGAGTGTCGAGAAAATTATAATCGAGGAGGTATATCGATTACCAATTACCGATTACAGGTTGATTTATGTGATTACAAAATCATCGGTTTCGCTTCAGATAGAAAAGCGTTCATTAAAGTAACCACCGATGGTCTCGGATCGTTTGGGCGAATCAAATCGAGGAATTAATGCTGGTCCGACTCACTGCCGGTCTCACGAAACTTGAGGACCTCTTTCTCTCTCTTTCTCTCTCTCTTCCTCTTGATAATTGACTTAGTTCATCATTTTCTCCAATGTCATTTATTTCGCGAACTGTCTATTATTCTTTGCTCTTTTTTTGATCGCCTGTCCTGAGGGAAAGTCGACGTTACCCCAGAATCGTAAAAAAGTCAAAGAAATTTTGGTCAATTCAGAAAACCACGTTGTTCACGTACCAAGTAAACATGCTGTCCTATTTACGTATTATGTTCTTAGATACTAAACTATTAGACGTATAACACGTGTCAGAGTCGTTAACAGAATTTACCTGGACAGTCAAATATTTAAATAAATACTATCGTGAATTTTAATGTTATAGGAATGTACTAGGACGAAAGTGAATTCTTAACTTTCTCCAGAATTTGAATAGTTAATTTCTCTAGTGTACTCATAGTCCAAGTATATAAGATACTCGGTCCACTCGTCTTATCCAGTCATTTTTTTTCATTCGAAAGTCACTCTCATCCAGCAAGGCAGACACGCTAATATCATTATGCTCTTAATGATTTTAAATATTCCGCACTTGCGCGCGCACTCACTAGCTTCTTTCTTTCGCCGCTATGCGTAACCAAGTCGACTAGTAGCTAAGCATCGACTTAACGCGGATTTCGTGATCGCCTTTGTGGCTGAACAATCGCATGTCGTCTTTCGTTAATTTGAAGTGATAATGTGAGTCTAATCAGATACAGTCTCAGGATATCCAAACGGACTCTTCTCTTTATGCTCGACACTTTCACTAGTGAGTGTTAAAAGCGGCATCGAGTCACCGGACACTTTCTTCGCTTGATCGATGCCCAATGGAAAGTGCACTGGTGGAGCACACGTAAGTTGAGAGGGAAAGAGAGAGAGAGAGAGAGAAACAGTGAGAATGATATATGAATATAGCAGAGAGAGAGAGAGAGAGAGAGAGAGAGAAGGAAAGAGTACCAGATACATTCACCGGATGTTTATGAATCTCGGAAGTGCCATCCAGTTTCTGGACCCTATACTTTTCTGTACGTTAAAAAAAGCAACGAAGGAAAGAGTACCAGATACATTGAAAGAGAGAGAGAGAGAGAGAAACAGTGAGAATGATATATGAATATAGCAGAGAGAGAGAGAGAGAGAGAGAGAGAGAAGGAAAGAGTACCAGATACATTCACCGGATGTTTATGAATCTCGGAAGTGCCATCCAGTTTCTGGACCCTATACTTTTCTGTACGTTAAAAAAAGCAACTTATTTTCGTTACTCTTTAAACAAAATTTCTCTGTATTAATACACACGTTGATATTTATATATGTATATACACACGGCACTGTTGCGTGTACATAATACTTGCACGTGTACGATTTTTGTAGTCTTACAAAAGTTTATGAGTTGTAAGATCTACTTTGTCTAGATATTATGACATTGATAGGCATGAGACGTGGAGTGGCAGAGAAGATAAAAAAAATAGTTATTCGAGGAATTATACGTAATAGCAAGTGCGAACGGGTTTTCGGGGAAAGTGGACCACGAAGATTGGGCAACGTAGCGATACGAATTATTCCCTATATGCGAACATTTTAATAATAGTCTGGCATAATCCATTTGGAAAATTGAAGAGATAAAAAAGTGGGGAAAAAAATTAATCAACTTACAAAACTCTAGCGTTTCAGTCTAGCACATAACTACGTATCTGCTCCATCTATTGATCCGTAGGTAAAATCTCCATTTGCCAAAAATCAAGTATTTTTCAGGCTTTAGATCGATTGGTCATGGTTGAGGCGGACAATGAGGCAGCCTTAAGAAGTAAAAGGACTATCGGCATACTGCGCCAACTATTTCCAGAAGTCTCTCAGGTGAGCCTTCCCGACATGTGGAATTCACGAATGACGCCATTTTGTCGAGGGAGGATACCCTCCCCACCCCCTTTATTGTCAAAATAATAATCGCCCCATTTTTCCAATTTTGATTGCAGCCTTCAATACATAAAAAAATATGATATTAAGCTCATCTGATTCATATGCAATCTTCGCACCTAATATAAACATAACCTAACCATTGAACGCCCATATCGAATCCAGCATTAATGTTCCTTTCGTTGAGTCGACATTCTTACCGTGAAAGTCACTCACCCGGTATAATGCTCACTTACTCATGACCACTATTTATTATACTCTTGTTCACTCAGCTACCACTGCCACCTACTATCTACCTACTTGCTCGCTTTATTATAGGTGTAATATAGCAATATATATATTGCACTGTACTGTACATATTTGATTTTTCCCGCCACGCGATTTCGTTATACGAATGCGTGCCTTGTAATGTAATCAACAATTTTGTCACAATATCCAGCGGACATTAGGAATATATTTGAAGTAGATGTACAACACTTTTTGGGGGGGGGGGAGGTGGCCTAGTACGTAATAACATTGGCATTGTAGAAAATATTTAATCAGGAGGAAATACTGCCGTACTATGACTGTTACGGATACTGATTTAGCGAGAGAATGGTTTACAAATTATTTTACATGGATAATAGTCAATAATTAATAGATTTTTGAAAAATGATAATATTCAATATACTTTTTGTGCCTAAAGTTAACACTTTTCGTGATTTTTTTAACCATTCGAAGTACCGTATCATCCATAGACTTGTATTAGCGGTGTCGATGCCAAAAGTGAAAGCGAATTATTTGTACGTTGGAGAAGAAAAAAAAGATATTGAACGGTAAAACCACAGATAACGGAACCGATCGAGAATTTCACGACGAGATTCCTTTATCATAGTTAGTTTACATGGAATTGCTATAAAGGAGTTCTACTGACGTAACGTAAGTCATGTAACGAGCAATATGAGAAGTTCCGGCAGATATACATATATATAGCACGTCTATTTTAGGAATTCACATAACCGCAAATCAAAAACAAAAGACTGGCAATACCATTTAAAAGAACAATTATCAGTTCCAATTGTTCCAGCGCAAAATTACCAGCTTCTGTTCCAAAGATCACTGATCACGATCTCGTGTAACTCCTCGAATTCACAATGATCATGCATGGACACAAATGATTTCATAACAAGAGGACATAAAACGCCTGTCAATAATCATAATGCGACGTAGCACAAAAACACAAACGATCAAGAGAACTACGTCAGAACAAAGATAGAATAATCATCATCCAAGCAGAATCCGGACACGACTGCGAATCATCGATCATTAGAATCTTGGTGTAAAAAATATGGAGGACGTAATCCAAATGGATCCCGCGGGAATGAGAGAAATCCTAAGGAATAGCTAAGCCATATTATTTTCTAGATAGTCGAACAAAAAATCAACATGATAACATCCGAAGTCATCCGAGTCCTGGGTCCAGTGATATTGCGGAGTGCCTTGGGCGGGGGCGGGGGCGGGGGCAGAAGTGACGCATCAGGATCAAGTGGATCTACAGTAACCGTGTCATCGCCGTTTGGTGACGATGACAGCGATGACGATGGACAATCGTCATCCGGCGACGGTGGTTCAAGAGTCTCAATATCCCTGCCCACGTTTCCACCCGATGAAGAGGATGCTGAAAGCGCATCGGAATCTTCGGTATATTCAACTGTTGAACCCCTGAGGATGTTTCTCAGGGTTCCCAAGAGACCTCAGGATGGGTTATGAATACATTCATCATCCTTAAAAAATTAATCAGTGTCATCCTATTGTCGTTTACTTTTTGTGTCACACCCCTATCTCTATGACTACTATCTTTACTTGTTCATCCAGTTGGTTCTTCTATTATATATTGACTTTTTAATGTTGTACTCTTCATACTGTGTAGTTGGTTTTCCGTATTTTTCTCACAGTGGCTTTGGCTATCCTATGTATTGTCATATATTCTTTTGTTGGTCGCTTTTGAGTCCCTGACGACATTATTGCGGCTTATCTTACCCAGCAGGGGTAGGACTCATTTTTAATGTACATCAAGACTGTTGTAGATTGATAACTAGTATCACAATGACCTATTGATTAATCATACCTACATTGTAATACTGGTTATACCGCATCCTGGGTTTAGAAGGCACTTTTAATTTATAGCCTTTTGTAGATACTAGTACCTGTTATTGTTATGCGTAGGTATGTTTAACAATGGTAGAAACTCTGTGGTTCAGGATAATCAACAATCCTACTCAATCATACCTATTGTTCTGTCATCGAGAAACGCATACGTAAATCTCGAGTGAATCATCAACCAGGTGGCTTTCTGGATTAATCTCATCATGTATTAGGTACTCTACGGCCACGTGACGTCGCGAGAGTCCATTTTCGATACTGATCTCAACTAATACTCCTCGTGGATGGGTCCCATCCGGTGGGCTCGGGATTGGCAAAAAATCTGTTTCAAACGTATTTGCAATTTCATTTTTTTTTTTTTTACAGGACGTAAATCCAGAAGCTGAGAATCAAGTAGGCGCCGAGTCGCAAAATACGGAAGTACGAGTTCAGTTTGCCGATGACCAAGCAGGTGCAGCTGCTACCAATGCGGGAGTGGAGCCAGCATTGGCACCCTTGGATGACGTCGAGGTCAACGATGACAATCGCAACAAAAGATTCCTCAACTTCGGGTTCGGAGCTCAAACCAGTGCCGGCGGTAACGCCGCAGGAAGCGGTGGTGGATCCGGCAACTTCCTCTTTGACATTATCAGGGTAAGGACATTGCCTCTATAACACCAGTACCAATTGTAACCGGAATGATCAAGTGACCTGAGTGAGTGGTATCGTTGACTATGACAGCCATTACCACAAGGGCAGCTGGTCTTCCAGAGAGTGAAAGTCTACACCGGATAGCTCCACCAGTATCAAAGACATCTCATTAACGGTTCCAAGGTATTCGACCTCGTATCTTAATCTAGCGGTTTACCGTGTTGCTTCTCGGATTTGCATCCCTCTGCAAATATATCTAGAATCACACCTGCGATTACGATGATAACGATGATTGATAATCCTCTGCCTGCTACCTACGTCTTTATATCTAGTCCATATAAGGAAGTTAAGACCACGATAATTAAACGATCAATCCGTAATACGTTAATCAATGCACATTCCTAATTTCCAAATAGAGTCATCAGGCTAATCCAGGTGTATGCAAGCATTTCGCCTACGATAGGAAGGATGTTTTTAACCGATGTTCACAGCTGGGACTATCGCCTTCAATCAATTCGAATATGTCTGTCTGGTCATTATTTCTTCATATTGCTCTTTGTGTCTGTTATTCCAGCGTCTTTTACTCCGCACTGTGATATTCTGTTATGATACTACGTCTGTGTCTCCTTAGCAAACAGCCGACGGGGCAGCGCGGGCGGCTGGCACCGTATATCGTGTCGTAGCAGGAACTCAAAGTCTTGGTTTAGGCTTGAGCGCCTCACGAGACGTGGGAGCCGCACCGGCACCTGCCAATCCTGCTCCTCCCGCAGGTATGCCGGCAGCTATGCCCCCTGGCCCAAAGCCAGCTGCTGCCCCTGCTGCGCCTCCTGCCGCCGCTCCTGCCGCTGGAGCCGCTCCACCAGCACCGGCGAGCAACGGGACTTCCGGCCCCGGGGTACGCCAATCCTTCCGACCACACGCAGACTATACACTCTCTTTACCTCCACCAATGACATCGACGATGGTTACTCTTTTTTAATCCTTTAGCCACTTTTTCTTGTTCTTGTATTATTGTTCAAACAAGTGGAAAAGGTTGTTGTACTCTGTGTCACGTGAAATTCAGTTTTTATCATCCGTTTGAGCATTTTTCTTTTTATATTAATTTTCCTTCTTTGGTATTGTTCGGTAGTTTTTTTTTTACCAATTTTTGTTGTTGCACAATTGCACAAAATTATTGTATTTTGTTATTCCGAGAGTAACCATCGAAGACGTGACGTATACAACTGCACTGCATTCTTTCTTATCTTTTTCTTATTTCTTTGCACTTCTTCACTGGCACCCTTACACTGTGCTCTTAAATCACCGCTTTCTTGCACCTTTTATTAATGTATATTGCTTGCGCACCTTATTAACCTTGTATCTTTATTTACTAATGTACTAAAGCCTGCCGACGACGAACCTGAGATTTTCGTACGTCCAATGGAACATTCACTCACGGTATTTCTCCTTACTGGAGCTGCCTTCTATTGCCTGGACTCTATTTACACTGTCTTAACATCTTATACCTACTATTACTCTACCGTTCTCTCTCTTTCACTCTAATCTTCTTTCCTCTTCAACTGGACTCTTGACTCTCATTTCTCTCTCTTTATCTCTTTCGCATCTCTTCACATGCATGAAATACATATCAAGATTTCTATAAAATTTCTTTAGAGTAAATAAATGTTTGTCTCCAAAAGGCAGTCTATTTAAATGGAAAGAAAAGTAAAAAAATAAAATCCTGCTCTACCAAAGGAGGTCTTGATATGTAAAGTAGAGCGTTCGCATCCCACCTCATGTCCAAAGCTTCCCAATCTTCCGTATCCTGTTCAAAAAATATTCCTCCCGACTGAACGTCAAACCGACCGTAAGGAAGATCCAAATTTCCTACAATTGTCAAAAAAAAAAGAAAAATGTCCCAGTTTCCCGTTCCACTCAGCCAACGGTCCCGACGCGACACAGACGACCCTGACCAAAGACTATTTTTTCGTCAAGTCAACGAGGGTTTAATGGACGTCACAGCCTTCTTTGGAATTATACCTGGCAGGCAGAATGTCATCGTATAACAATGCATTTACACGTGCATGAAGATCGTCATCGTTATACGAAACAAGCTCTGTATTTAATTGTTCTACTGCACCGTACAATTGCATCGGAAGCCACCATCAGACTTATTGCGTTCGCGTAGTACGTGTATCAACATTCGGGTATCGCGGCGATCGAAGCTGCAAGTGATAATACATCCAGAAGATCGTGGCTCGATCGGATCTAGAGGATCTTGCCGTGATCGATCATCGATGCAAGAGAGAAAGGAAGTTTACTCCGCTCACAGGAAGAGTCAAACTTCCGGTTGTTTCGTATGCACAATTAGTACTTTAGAGTAAACAGTATGTGGTGTATGATCGAGCACGAGGGTCGTGGCCGAAGTATGCTAAAAATAAAATTGAGGGATGAAAAATAATAATTTTGAAAAATCATTAAGTTCGAAAATTATTCGTAAAAATTGAATTCTCAAAAGCAAGCATGCTTCGCGAATGGCTCTCGTGGCCGCCATGTATAAAGTATCCCCTTTAGAGGGCTGATTAGAAAATTGCCAATTTTTTGCTCCTTTGTTCTTTGTTATTGTTGTATCACGTTGAGAGCCGCAAGCAACGTGCGTAAGCATTAGCCGGAGGATGGCCGTACTTATAGCGACTGGAATAATGGATATTGGATAATGTATTAGCACCTGGTAGTGTCGGGAGCGCTGGAGCTGGACGTGGAAGCCGCAACTCCCAGTATTCCCGAATATCCTGGCCTTGAAAGAAAAAAAAAGTTACCCCTACCTTACACTCCCAACGACTAATGATAGCTTGACATTAATTACAGCTGGTAGCCGGAAGTGGTAGCACGGAACAAGGTGACGCAGCTGCCAACGCACCTGCGCGTGGTGCAGACGCCACCCCGGAAGCTGTGCCAGGACCAATCACCAGGCTCTTCGTGATTGCCAATAGAGGAATCTCAAATCTCATTGACGATCTTATACTCGTGAGTACAATCGATCTTTGATTGCAATCGAAATCTAAGACAAAAAGAGTTCTCTAACCCTGAATTAATTACGAAATTGATGTTGAAACGTTTCCCTGGATTTTCCCGGGTTACACTTTCCACTCGAGCGAAACACTAGTGTGACGACGCTCAGCAATCAAAAGTAAATATCATTAACTCGTTTGAGTTGCCTGGAGACCCGTAATAACGTCAGCAAACTGGCTCCAACCTGTCACTTAAAGCAAACTGCAAAGAAGGAGCCATAAAATGGACAGTTGCGCGACAGGTCGAGCCTGAAAATCGTCCTTCGTGCTTAAGAAAAAAAAAAAAAGTTAGACTATTTCACGGCAAATATTTTTTGGATTAGAATTTTTTGCATTAGTATTTTTTTTTGCAAAATTGCAATTTCTACAATAACGTCACCCGGTCATTACCAAACGAGCACGTGCGTTACCTTTTGCTATTGTAAGTCGAAATATTAATCGAAGGAGAACTCCTATGAATATAGAATATAGAGATATGGAATCAAAGTCCAGTCTGTGTTCCAGATATAACCAGAAGTTACGCAATCGCCTTTAAGATCGATGGAAAGCAAAAATGTACACAACTTTCTCTATGAAATAGCGCGTCCATTTGCCGGCTGACTTATGCAAGCTCGGCGGCTGTTCGCTCCTGGCACGCGAAACCGCCGCTGGGTAAGAACAGTAAAACGGAATATAGAGCCGAGGAACAGTGATACATAAGAGATAAGATTAAGAGGGAGTACGGTAGAGATGGTAATATATAAAAGTTGATAGAGAAGTCCGCGAGACTTGTCTGTACTTCGTTAACGAATTTACGCTCTTACGTTCTTCGACCAACTCGTTCGAAATTGCCGCTTTAGAAATTAACATCCCGTCCGCGCATGCGCGAAAGCCTCCACCGAAAGACACGTTACGGTTGGACCGGATAAAGAAATAAGAGAAACATGAATAACGGTAGCCAATAAAGTTATTGAGTAACACCATTGTCCTTATGTACTATGTATACCGTAATTTATGTACATAAAGTTTTTTGCACTTTTTCTTCACTGATCCATGGAAATCGATGTGCAATAGTGACGCAATGGTTTCCTTTTTCTCTTTATAAAACTAAAACATATCCGACAACGTCCTTTGAATTGCCAAGGATACATGAAATTTCATTTATTTTCTACTCGGTGCAACGAACTGCAATTTCTTTCTGGTTTCTGTCAATCTTCGTATCTTATTTGTATTATTTATATAGACTACAGAGGTTATATAGCGACATCGAAGTTATATAAATCTTCCATAACGTTTTGCTCTCTGGTTAGTTTCCGTTTGTACCGCACCATGGAAAATGGCGTTGCGTTGCTAATAACAAGTATGCCTGTATGACAGAACGAAGTCACGCTCAGAAAGCGTCACAGACTGTACCTGTAAGATTATTCGAGTGCATCGGCGAAAAGGGAGATTTTTTTACGGTATAAATTATAAATACTATGCACATAAATGTATCTTAAGATCTAAAAGACGGGCAACGTAGCTCTACATTTTTCACATAATCCACGTAATACTGGTTACGTATCCGTCCCTTCGGTTCGGTGATAGCACATAGTAAAAGATAAAATTATGCATTTGTTGTATATGTTGGAGAATAGCAAAATGCTTGTCTATGCAAAATTTAAATATGATTTAGCGTGTAATTTTTGAGACATAAAAAATCCAAGTTTTAATTTCCACTATATAGATATACTGAACCTATGAAAATGAAAAAACTTCAAAATTCAATGTATGCATTCTCCTACGATAGAATGTCTTTAGCTCAAATCTCAAGGCTATCATATATTTTGACCCATTTATTTTTGAAGCAAAAATCTTGAAATTTTTTAGACTTCTTTAACCCGTACTTCTCTATCACTATTATGATTATCATCGCCGAACCACCTTAAGTGTTAATACTCGATGTTCAAGCTATTGCGTTCCCTCAATGATCTTTTGCTTATATTTTTATTGTTACAGCGTTTGGCAGCCACGAGTGAACGCATTGTCAACTTCAAAGCGCGGCTTATCACCTCCATTATCTAGAAGAAGTTACTCAAAATTATCAATGACGGCAGGAGTCAACGATCGATGATCTATAACCGGTAGATCATGTTATGGGAGCGCGGGCACGACGCAGACAATTCAAAATCCTAGATTATTGCTCCTTGTTCCCGCGTTTCATGTCGCAGGAGAATTACGTCGTAGACTCCGACCAGCAATGTAAAGAAAGAGGTTTGGTTGTCAAGTCGAAGAAGACGAAGGAACAGAAGAAGCAGAGGAAGAACTTCACCGCCAATTCACACTAAATTATATAAAAGTATACTTGTTCATACTATCCTCGTCGAATCACCATTTCCTTCCCAAATCTTTTTCCTCTTGATATATTATTTTTACATTTTTTAACCCCAGAAACACATAACACTGAACATCTGTACTTATATATTCTTATACCTTATTCAATTCACACACACATGCGCGCGTATACACGGAGCGATTAACATCCGGATAAATTTGCTAGACATGTAAATAGCTCCTTAGTAGCAGCGCCAGGAATCGATACATTTTTTTATTAGTTTCTGGTATTTTCCACTTTTTTTCTGTTTCTTTTTTTAAATACCGTTTTTACACTTTCTATGAGAATTCACGTCCGTTTACCCGTTCACTGTATATTTCTTCGATTTTCTTATTGAGATACCGCAACGAGAATCGCAGAGAGTTCAGTTAAGAATTTACTTGGACTCCCTTCTTTGTGCGATGGGTCGACTTCTCTTTTTGCTTAACTCGTATAATGTTTTCTTCTTTTGGATCTTGCCATAGACGAAATTCAAAAGATGAACCTGACCCTTCTCATCTAATGAATGGGGAGATAGAGGGAGAATATTTAGAGAAGGACGATTCTCCATTTTATTTCTCTCTTTTTCTTTTTTTTTTTTGTAATTATGACAATGTACACGCAAACTCGTCGTCGGTTTCAGCCGAGCAACAATGTGTAAATCGTCCCTGTTATTTTGTAGTGTAAATAAATATTATTGTAATAATAATATTGCGTTACTTTGTCATTATAAAGAATCTTTCCGGTCCCTTCCCTTAGTTCATATCTTAAGCCATTATTTATAAATATTGTATAAAAATACGTATAACGACAATTACACACTACCCATATGAATTTGCCAGGTACCTTTTAATTTTGGCACCATTTGTTGGTTAGTCGTATTGTCAATTTACTCGTATTACTGACATTAGGTATACGTCCAATCAGCGTTTTCTTGCAAACATACAGTTTTCGGTAGAGCTATGACCACTCAATTTCATTTTTGCATCTATCACGTGTCTTTGTCTGCAATGAGGTTAGTGTTGCCCTTATCAAGGATTAGTTCATGTTCACAGGAGCCCCAGCGGTGTAGCTATGGGGGTGAACTGACAGGACTCTCTTCCTCGGGAACATTCACAAAAATAGGATCACCAAGGCGCACAACAGAAACAGGACTTCGCAGACCCAGATGAATACCCATAACAGGACTATCACCGGTATAGGGTTGAATATCAGGGTCTTGAATTTGACGGTATCTGTAAGACCCCCACGAAAATAATACAAAATTGAAACAATTGCAGTCTACGACATATGAAGTATTATTAATAATATTAAAAGTCAAAGGTTACCCTTTAAGAGTCTTGAGCGGTTCAATTTTAGGATTTTTCTTTCCAGTCTCTGGATCCACCGTAGTAAATATGCACCTAGTGCAAGGCTTGACGTTCCTGAAGACCGCATTGCCGATCTTGACCCAGTCCCAAGTGTCTTCTTCCAGGGGCTCAGCACCCTTGACAACAAAGTTGGCCCTAAAGTGTTGAGGCGTGACCGGTTCCTCGAGACGAGTATTAAGGTCATTAATGGATGCCTCGTTTATCAAGGAGTAGCTGGTGGCATCCGGATACGCTCCCTAAATTTAAATCATGCACCATTACTCCTTCAGTTCTCCAGCAAGAGCATCTTCATCAGATAAAAGAAACATTGAAAAGAGAATATCACACTGGTCCCTGCTACCGTTAACTCTCTTCTTTCCCTGACTCGTTATCATGTCTTACCGTATCGGCAGTGATAGTTAGCGGAAATGCCTTGTTTTTCGTTCGGACTTCACGAGCCGGTCGATCTAACGGATAGTAAACGAGTCTGAGTCCGGTATCTTCCTGAAGAAGAAAACGGGACAGCCAACGTGCCGGTTCCTCACCGCAGTCACAGGCAGGTACAGCCTGTCCCCATACAGCAGCACGGAATCCTTTTCCACGGAGATGAGCCAAGTCGACGGACACAGCCATCATTCCAGGTGCTTTTAAGGTTAGGATGGAACCAGACATACTGGGTGATACCTGCGAAGTAAAATGAGCTTAATCAAAAATCCTATTCTTTCAGGTACAATAAATCCGGTCTTCGGTACCAACCTGGACCATCCGGGGTAATTGTCTTCCAGATACAAATTGTCCATCCAAATCAATCACCATAAGTGTCCGATCACGTAACCATCCGGACTTCAAACCCAGTTGCGTACACTCCATTTCTGTCATTCTTGCAGCGCCCAATGATTTAACTGGGAATGCTATGAGGTCACTGAGCTCACCGACTTTTCGCCATTTTGTTGGTACTCGTTCTTGCTTCTTCCGGGTCCACCATAGCCATACCAGGACCACTGCAGTTCCTGCACCTACCACCACTGCCGTCACGTATGCTAATCTAGCTCTGTCTGTAACAAAAGGTGTAGCCACGTGTTAATTCGCTCGTAACCACGAGACACGAGACTTTAACGAGCTTAACGAGAAGTAGCTATATACACATTGTATACATATACATAACACATACATCGTGTAGCCACGTAAGGAATTTATAAATTACGCATGGACTCCGAAATCATTATGGCGGCTGTACCATATACGATTGATTCCTTATGAGTTCTTTTTTATTCGTTTTCTAATGCACTTAAACCTATAGACTGTATATATATTGTATATATATATATCTATGTCAATACATATATCACTGGGAAAGAGATTGGTAATTTCTCTCAGTCTCCATAATGAGAATCTTGTTCCTGAACGACGAACACGAGGCTTTCATTCTTATCGTACTTGATCCAAAATTCAAAGTAAACAGAGCGTTAAGCTCTACTCTTGATTTCCATAGAAGATATCTTATGCATACAAAGCTATCCGTAATTATTATGCGCCATTAAATTTTAAGGAGAACCTACTTTTGGATACGTGAAACTTTTATGCGATCGATGTATATTCGCTGCTACAAAAAATTGGATAGTAACAGGTAGAAACGTATAAGCTGAAAATGAAAAACCGTTTTAAAATAGCTATTCATTTTATAAATTTCTATATGATTTTTGATTTTGAATTTATAAATTTTTAATTTTTTAATATAAATTTTAAGCAGGGATATGTGTATTACGTGTTGTATTTTTTTTTCAATTTCACTCTACTAATATTTATGGCCCGTTGACTTTTGGACTTTAATATTTATGCATCGCGTATCATTCTTTAATAATATTTATTAAAAAGAATAATTATCTTATACAGTACTGTGATAAATTTATCGTTGTTATTTGACATCAGTTTTAAACTCATATGACGTTATTCCTTACGTTAAATTATTTTTTGGATGACTGTTTTTCAATATTCCGCCCTATCAATTTTTGGAGGGCCGACGGGAATTTTGTGTAACTTTGAAAATTGATATAGGAAAAATTTGTTTGTGCTAAAGTATATAACTTGTGTCAAATACTATCTTCAAGACGTTGTCATGTGCCGAAAACGATGACGTCTTCTGACACACTGAAGGTTAGAAAAATTGAGTTGTGATAAATAATAAAGTATGAATGCATAAGGATGCTGAAAGGACTTGGTAAATGATAATATTGTTGCGTAACGTTGCACTTGCTTATTCTTAACCTGAAACATCTACTGGTTAGGCCACTCGGCCAGGAAACGGGATATTTATTATTAAATTGAAATGCATGCTCAATGGAACGAAACCAGTGGTTATCATTTGTAATGGCAAAACTTTAGATGTCTGATTTCATGAGGGGCCTCGCCCAGTGTAAATAATCAATACAAGTGTCAGCTGGTGTAGGATACTTTTGCAGGCAAATAATATTATAGTTGTTTGAGCGACTATAATACAATTAAAAACTATAACAGAAAATATTTCGTGTACATTATACAAAATTCAGAAAAAAAGCACATATGAACCAATAATAATAACATGATAATCAATTCGTAATTTTACGTATTGGAAAACTAACAGCAATTGTAAAAAAGAGTGAACATAGCTTTTTTTAATATTTCAATAATGCTGATAACAATGTTGAATTGGAATGCTATATTTGTTTTATGTACTCACCCATATCAGCGCCAAGATGTTGAAATTCCAAATGTTGCCAATATAAACTGAGTGAAATCTCATGAGCAAACTAAGATCAGTGAAGCCGGTAGAACTGCCAACAGGGTACTAAAGCCAGTGAAGTTCCTTCTGAAGCGTGCGGGCTAGCATCTTCGTTCAAAGACACCGTTATCTATTTACGTTACGTCGAGCCATCTCTCTCATAATAATAATGAAGAACGTGAAGCATACCGGCGTCACGTGTGGGGCATCTCGATTGCGTAGAGAACCTACACGCAACTTTTCTCCAATATCCTAATACACATGCGCCAAAACAAGACAGGAACCATGTGCTTCCATTGTACCTGTTTGACAGAAGAAGAGACTATATGATAAAAACACAAGAACATTATAAAAGCTAAACCTACAGTAGCAAATTCTGATAATTTAATTTTCAGACTAGAAATATCCTATAAGTACACGCAATGTTATTACTAAATAAATAGAATTACAGAACCTGCAGTTATTCAAACTTCAAATGTGATCCAAAATCACACCCTGGTAGGAATAGAGTTAATATACCCTGTGTTCCGATATAAGCTTTCAATACTGTTAAAATGACGTTACTTCACACTATATCGTAATGACGTTATTTCACAATACTGAAAGCTTATATCACAGAAATAGTACTACATATGTATATTAGTAACTTCTATGGACACGTTCAAATCGTACTTTGTTAGACGAATGAGTTCGAAGTTCGTTAGGAATAGAGTAGATTGTTAATGGCAAATTTTTCATACTGATTTGCGAATATGGTATTGTTGTATTCAGTGATGTACCTATATTGAATTTTAATTTTATTTTTTTTTTGGACGAAATTAATTATAATTGTTTGAATCTTCCGCTCAAAGTATGAAACTCGATGCCAGCGACACCTTCGAAGAATGATAAACTGTCATATGCCACAGAACTTGTTAGACTTTGTTTTGAGATCATTGTACACAAATATCAGGTGTTTTGACGCATTCGAATTAGCTTATAGTACATTAGTGAGTAATTTGCAAGTTTCGATGTGAATGCTACCTTTGATAAATAGTTAATTCACATCTGATTTATTGTTACTTGAGGCACGTCAGAGTGGTCTGCCATTTTCAGGAATAACTGCGACTGTCTCTTTCAGGTACATTTATTGTTTTTCTATGCGGTATTTTATATTTTTATAATTACAAAGTGCTGTATGCATTTCTTATGAAATTAGACATTTTTACATCTATCGATATTAATTTGCATCAATGCGATTCAATTATATGTAATTTTAGGTTCAGGTTATGAATTCTTTGTTGCATTTTATGTTTTGGGCCCAGGGTCACCAATATTAGTTAAAATTTAACTAGGGCCTAAGTAACACATTACCCATTCTCATGTCCGCAATCAGATATTAAACCCTTAATCATATTTCAACCGATGTTGGTGAAACCAGGGTTTAGTTTTATTGGTTACTTTATGCTGTCCTTTTTATTTATATTTATCTCTATCATCAGCAGATAAAAATGACACAATCTGTCGATTTTAATTAAATATTCATTTTATTCCTTTATTATTTTCATAAGAATTTTTATTTTTAGCAGCACTATCTGATAACGAATGATGAGGTCATGTATTAGTCATCGTTTAATTGACTTTCGTTGTATTATTGATATCAATTTTGTCTTTTTATTTATTTTTGTTACTAGATTCCAAAATGCCACTCTTGTACAGTGTAGTGGCTAGAGGTCCTACTGTTCTAGCCAAGCATGCTTCGTGCGCTGGAAACTTTGCCGAAGTCACTGAACAGATCCTGTCAAAAATTCCACCACATAATGACAAACTGACATATTCTCAAGGGCCATACCTGTTCCATTATATTTGTGAGGATCGTATTATATACATGTGCATTACAAATGATGTATGTATCATCTATTTAACAGTGACAAACCTACAGTCGGTTCACAAGTTTGATGTGTTTTATTCATATATGCATAAAATATTTATCACAAAATTTACATATGTATCATTTTAGACTAAATATATTTTATTCTTTATTTTAGTATATATATTAACACTATTTATGGAAAACTTTGTATGATTTATTAAGGATGACATTACTTTCAAACTGTCAAAAAACACATTAAACTCGTGGACCGACTATATAAAAAAGCTACAAATCCTACAGTATCAATACTCTTCTTAAGAACTACTGAATAATAATTGATTCTAATGAATTTTCAGGATTTCAAAAGATCATTGGCTTTTCTCTATCTTAATGAAATCAAAAGAAGATTTCAAGCTGCCTATGGACAGCGGGCCCAAAATGCACTAGCTTATGCAATGAATACGGAATTCTCACGCGTGTTAGCTAATGAAATGGTGCGATTGAGATCTCAATAAATAAGTATACACTGAGTTTTTTGTACAGTAAGTAAACCATAATATGATATTTGCAGAAACACTACAGTGAATCAAAGGACTTAGATACGCTATCGAAGGTGCATGGAGAATTAGATGAATTGAAAGACATTATGGTGAGAAATATTGATAACATAGCAATGCGTGGTGAACATTTGGAACTTCTTGTGAATAAGACTGAAAATTTAACAGCAAGCGTAAGTATTAAGTAGCGTAACTATGGGAATTAAAAGAAAAAAAGAAAATTTTAATTACTTTTGACGTAACACATTAACCATTTTTCAGTCCGTGACATTTAGGAAGAGCAGCCGAAATTTGGCACGATCCCTTTTCTGGAAAAACGTAAAACTCTACGTGATCGTTGCCGCAATTTTAATAGTATGTAAAAAAAACCATTTTGACATTAAAATTATATTGAAGTTATATCATTCTTATCAGTATCGAAATATTCTTTAAATATATTTTAGGTGGTAATATACACAATTGTATCCATGTCATGCGGAGGACCTGCATGGCCTAAATGTGTTGGAAATTGAATATTTTTAAAGATCAAGTATAAGAACCACCATGAAGGACTGAAAGGATTTTGACTGATAAGAATTTATTAAAAGAGTATCAATGAAGCAATCACAAGTCGAATGAATAAGGAAGGATATGACTTCAAACAGTCTTAAGTGGAACATATGTGTAAATATTATAAGGGTACCGGTTGCATGAATTAGCTATGACTAACAGCCCGGAGATCACCCCGCACAAAGATAAGAATATTATTATATTATACATGTAAGGAACTTACTCTTTATGGCGTTAGATATATTATTGCTACTATAAGTACCAGTAATATCCTAATGAATGGTCGCATCAAATATGGTGCAGAAAAAGACAAAACAGGTAAGAAGATATCTGAGAAAGGTGTTATTAATGATTTTATTAGCTATGTTAAACGAATTACAATATATTGTAACCTTGATGAGTCTTTTGGTAAAAATAAAAAGCTGTGGCGGAGAAAAATGCTAATTTTATTCTATATATATATAGTATATGCTACATGTATATAATCCGGGGAAGAAAACCCTGAATGAGCGGAGTAATTTTATCTTGAATATCTTCTTTAATCAGATAAAGATAATCGAGGGATAAACGGTAGAAGCAGAAAGCTTATCAGACATATTTTATGTCAGATGGTCTAATCTAATTTCGATAATAAATTATCCTTGACACAGGCTCTCTCGCGCCATTACACCCATTATGATTCTCTTACTCGCAGAAGCCACGGATTTCGGAGCTGCTACCCTTATCTTGACGCTCCACGTAATCTTGGGAGCGCATGTCTGAAATGCAATCCCCATGGATAAAGGCAGGGCCGTGCCAAAAGATATTCCGGTAGCCACCAAATTCTCGCTATCGATCCCACCCCTGAAGAAAAGTCAACAAACCCCATACAGTCGGATAATCGACAGTTGTAAAAAAAAGCCTTAAAATTAGAAAGAATCCCCCTTATGGAAATCAAAACATGTTTTTCGTAAAAATGTATTATTTGACTGTCCAGCAACGATCCCCATAGAATATCTTATATCCAAGTCTTTTGACAGTGCCTATAAACCCCTAAAATAATTTTTTCCTGTATAAATCCCATAACTTTCTTTATAAAAATCCGTATTGTTTCCATATCTCAGCGACAGTCTGAAAAATCTAATGCCTTGTTTCACTAGTTTCTTCAACCCCATACAATTTATATTCTCGCACCACCATAAATAACAGGCTGACCATAACCGTCGACCGCTGTGTTTACCTCGCAGAGACAAGAAACAAGCCCACGCAATAGCCGGCCCTGAAGATTCGCATGGGAAAGGGAGCTGCAAGGAGTGCGTATTGCGAGGGGTGGGCGTCGCACGTCGCGGCGCTGAAGTCGCAACGCCCGGGCCATTCCGGGCCCGTTCACAGCATGTCGATGCCTCGCGTTCGGCGCCCTTCGGGGGTGCAAAATTTTCCTGTCTCGCCGCACGACTGATAACAGTCGTACACACGGAATTTCGATTCAACAAGTTTAACCCCAATTCCCAATTACACTCAGCGAATTTGTGCAAGGTGCAACTGTTAGTCGGGATCGGTGATTGATAATAACATCAACAGGAATCACAATGAGGAAGCATACTTAGTTAACAGCGGAGGAATAAAAACGCACAAAAACATACAATTTCAAACGGGCACGAAGTTACCAGTCAAGGAATGGAAACGCGAGAGCAATTACAATGCGTTTAAGTAAAATTGTGTAAATATCAACAATTCGTGAATCCCACTCGTTCATACATGGATGTACATTACTACGTACTGGCTACTACGTTACTAGCGTTGTACGCGCAACGTCCACGAGGTGTTCCGTTCATGCATCCATCTTCAGATTCCTGTTCGGCTGAACGCTGTGTTTACAATTTTGTAAACGAAATCATTCTGTCGAAAAGCACTTGTATGACAGAGAGAAAGAGAAGAAGACTAAGGGATATAATTTTCGTAAGGGATCATCAGTGTCTTTCTGCCGTGACACCTATATACAGATTCGCACTATTTTCAGAATAATATTATGTATACACGCGTGAATGATAATGGAGCGTGAGAGAGCGTGGAATATAAAAAAATGTTGGGAGGAACAATAATGCTTTTTGGATATTCAGAAAATTTTGGTGAGTCACGTTGAATTTTGCATGTGAATAAATATTATGTCTGACATATAAATCTTGAGGGATGTATCTACTTGGTGCTGTAGTCTGAATTCCTGAATTCTACTGTATATTGATGTATAAATTATTTAATGGAGTTCCGTTACCCAACGTGAACCACCATACCAACATCCCCTAGTGGTAAAATGTTAGTATAGTAGGGGCTGCCTGCACCCGATAAGAAATCCTGACACGACACCCGCCTACCGGTTTTATGTTAACTTTCTAAGCTGTATTGCTCTATGACATGAAATCCCATGGAAGTTACATGTGTTTTCATGGCACGCGATCTAAATGCCACAAAGTCATTGCGCAAACGAATTCTCGGAAAATATTCCACGCTTTGTATTTCCGTTTCCTGAAGGGCTGTTCTTTTTTTCTCATTCACCTATATTAGCACGTGCGGAACATTTATGTAACTTTTAACATTACTATGGGATTTGCTTTTCTTATTATCGTATAATCGGTATGCACAAATGGCACAAATTATTGAAATTACTTACAACGTTTAACGAATTCCTTATATTGCTTAGAGAATTGTATTTATGGGAATACTTTACTGTCGCAAGACACAATAAGAATACACCTACTTCACTATGGGAAATTCTAGAATATTTGCAACGTGGTCCGGTGATAACACCCAGTCCAAAATAAATAGTTGATTTTTTTTTGTATACGTTTTTTAAGGCATGAACTAACTATTCGTTTATGCAACATTTGAACATGATTGACCCTATAATTTTTGAAATAAAAAATGTGTCAATTTCCAGTATATAGATATACTAAATCTATAAAAATGAATAACTTTAAAATTCAATATTATCAAATTAATCTAATTATAGGGTGGATCTTTATGAGGGTGTTGCATAAGAAATGGTTATGATGCAAGGTAATTTATATCATAAAAATTTATACGAAGCAAAAATAATCATACCGAATTACTAAAACTATCATTTGAATGTTTTTTCAAAATCTCCAACTTACGGCATATCGTTCTGCAACAAGATACTATGGTGTCTATGAAACTCTAAAAATCCATAAAAAATACAATAGAACAATCCCCATAACGCAACGCTACACAAACTGAAGCATAAAGCCTACGTGCTCGAGTATCCTTCGACCGTGCGCACTTAAGACCGCATATAAAATCCCTATAAAATATCCCCGTACCAAGTAGATACCCCATGAAAGATTCCTCGTACGTACAACCCCTTAAGCCAGCATGATGAATAGAAAATGTGTAAAGAAAAAAAAGAGAGTTGTACAAGGGTGCGAAAAAAGTCAGTCTAGTTAATACAAGTCACAGTAGTAGGTATCAGGTACATGCAACTACACGGTAGAGCACTAATAGACGCCATTGAAGCGAAACGATTCATCATTCATCATTCATCAGGCGATTCTTTGAGAGACGTTGAAAACTGCCGTTGCACCCTCTTTGGAATTGCCCGGCGGTGGTGCAAGAAGCTCCTGAGAGACAAAAGGGGGTCGCGCCGTGCTCCTAGCTAGCCAGGGGTTGAAAACCGAGAGGAGCCCATAGGGGTTGTGCAGGCAAAAGAGGGAAGCGGGAGGAGCGTTGGAATACGGAAGAGAAGAGTGAACCATAGGGTAGGGGATAACGGTGTAAAGAAAGAGAGAGAGAGAGAGAGAGAGAGTCAAGAGATAACACCCTGAGAGAGTGAAAGTGTCTGATAAGAAAGATGGGAGAAAGTTCTCCTGATCTGAGCCTGCGGCTTCGCCGTGGTAGCTCCGACTCCAGGGATTCCTTCTACATGGACTTTGCGCAGGTGCGTCAACCCTTGTAAGGGTTTATAAGATCAATTCCAACGGTGGATCGATTTCCGGCTTATATCTCCTGTCCGTCTCACTGACAGCTGTCAATACTGTTTGTTTTTATTAACAGGGTATAGATTCGGATATCGAAGAAGTAGCCAGACCCAATGACAGCTCTGATCCCATTGTGGATAACCGTATCGAAGAAAATGGCAACGACCTTCTGCCACCTATAGAGGACATTACGACGATACCGGAAGAGGTTTCTGAAGAGCTAAGGGAGGAACAGGAAGAGGCCCTCGAAAGACGCGATGAAGCTCGAGTAATTAGCACGGAGACTGAGAAACCGGCTGAGTGAGTAATTATAATATTATAACTATAAAGGAATGAGAAATTAATTAAAGGGTAGGTAACTAGCAGCCCTCTTGGATGGACCATTAGAGAGACGTCACCCCCTCCTGATGACTAAGAAATAAACAGATTAACAAGCAGAATGTAAATTATCAGCGCCTGAGGATGATATATTATTTTTAACTTTCTCAGAAAGAAATTACTGAAAACTTCATGACGTCCCTTGTATAAAATAATTTTTCAACAGAAACATTTTTTTACAAATATTCAATGTCCATACATGATGCGCAGTACCGAGTACAGAGAATGCCTGGGGTGCGTTCAGAAATCTGACTCAGGGCGATTCGGGCATCTTGCATCTCTTTTTACCATCGTTATTACGAAGAGGACAGAATGATACTAGAGTCGACTCTAAAGAGCTTTCCGAACGTATCCCAGGACGTCTGATTGCTTCCGGCAGATATTGAACGGGAATTCAGAAACCCCTAGTAATATTGTCGTTTTACCTCGTTACGAGGATTTCGGTACGACTCTGACTACCTCAGCCATGCTTCGTCACGGATACGATCCCTCAAAAATATCCACCTCAGACGATCCATTGCAAACCGCACGATCTGATTTTTGTTCAGCCCCCCGACACCCTCTGTGCATTTTTAGAGTCAATAATCGACCACGGATCCGCCACGTGCTATTCACTCACCCTGATAAATTTGCCTAGTCAAGGCCCATTAGGGATTAATCACTTCCGATAGCGAGTACAGCCAAGTGCAACAGTGCTGGGACAGCTATTCATAGCTTTTATTTTTTATTCTACTAAATTCCACCAAGTCTCACAAAATTGTCACTTACTGCACAAACCTAACTGTAACTGTACTTCACTCAAAATAGAACAGTTAAAATTTGTCCAACGTATATACAGACATAATTGTCAACTTTGCCTATCAGACTTACTATACAGGGATTCACGTATGCAGACACGTATAAGTCACTGTAAATATATCTAGTGTATAATGGCACTCGTGAACCAAACGATATAGGACATTGCCAGAGAGCGCGATGTGTGCATCGCTAGATACTGAGATTTGAGAGTGACATCAGATCAGTATGTGATGTGGGGTCAGATCAGTGCTGTGCCACGAGCCGGAGGGCCGTGATTGTATCATCCGCTGGCGAAGATCCGAGTCAGACAGCCAACGTTCCGTCAAAAAAGGACGAGACGGGCAAGCTTCAGGATAACGGAGATGCTTATCAAGGAGACCTCCTTAAGGTTAGATAACGAAATTCTCAGTGAGAATTTTTGACGGAAGAATGGAAAAAGACAAAAAAAAAAGTATTACCATTGGGACTTTGGAAGGTTATGAAAAGTTTTTTTGAAAAAAATTTTTTTTAAATGAACGTATAGTACCCACGATAATTTTCGGTATATTGTATAATGGCTCTGAATATTATAGCCGCGTAGAGTGCCTGTCTGCATGAAGAAGGTGAGGAGTGTTTGTCTCCCCGAAGGATACGACTTTTTGTATGAGTATGAAGAGGTATGGAAGGATGGGATCTGACATAAGAGGAATAAGGGTGGGATTGTATAAGATGGTCATACGCGTGTTGGCAAAGGGGTAGTTTCGAAGCAAGCAAGGGTTGGACTTCGTTCTCTTCAGTTTATAGATATGTATATACGTTGTGTATATTCCGTCTATATACGAACAATGAGCAAACACCCCTCAGCCGTTGAATCAGCCTCTCTGGTATCTTCTAACTTTTTCTTTCGTTACAAAATCCAATATAGCGATGACGCACTGGTCGCTTCTCGAAAAATTGTTAGTAATTGGCGTCAGAAAAAAAGCAGCCCTTAGATTCTATACTCTTACGAAATACCTAACACTTCCTGACTTACCGTATACGTACGTATAACCACCTAACACGGTCCACGTGTGTCCTACGCACGTGTCACACGTGTCTCTTACGCACCTCTCGCAAAGGCCTACACACCCTTCTGTTCTATTCACTCTCACCCTATAATTCTCATATGTTTCAATGACTGTCTCGTCTGTCTTTATAAACTAAAAGTTTTCAGCTATACCGTGCAGAACAAATAATGGAGAACTGAAACATTCCCGAAAAAGCCTTTCTACCTGATACACGTAGGGTAACGTGTATTGTATACTGTTGTAAGGATTGGTTACCAGAAGCATATGAAAAATACTGTGCATGCTTTAAGGTCGTGAAAGCAGACAAGCTGACTCTATGGGTTTTTATAGTCTGCTGTACGTATCCCAGATGTTGAAAAAGCATTTATTATAGTACCTTTGATATTAGCACCATCTATTGGCAGTTCAGTCAACTTCTTACTCTTATAGTCTATACTGCGTTAATTACAGAAATTTGTATGTTCACTATTCCTCTGCTACGTATTATGAATGTAGCCAAGGAAATGCTTTACTTCATAGAAGCATAGAACGAACGACGCCAAAACTGTTGTCAAGGCATTCGATATTGTAATGCTTATAGGAAAAATAAGATTACCCATATACAATGTATAGAATTAAATCTAGCGATCGGCTTCTGGCCTGGTATAAGAATTGAGACAAATAATTCATATGTTACGATCAAGATCTATAAATACAAACCGCGTAGAGCCTGCGCGCCAGTACAGGAAATAACCGAGTAATCAGCTTAATGGGATCGCGACGAAGGACGTTCTGCGAACGGGAGAGAAAAAAGGAGAAACAGAAACGCCAACCACGATACGTGGTGCGAGGGAGAGAGAAAAAGTTTTTTAAATTTTTGTTTCCTTCTTTTTACGTCTAGTTAAACACATGCTCGACAATCTCCCTCGGGTACTGACGTATGTAAATACAGGTGCGTTAGTTTGCAAAACGCACTTAATTATGACTTTGAAGCATTGCAATGATCATTACGTCCTTAATTACAGAGCTAGTGAGGATTCGTTTAGTTTATTCATTTTCACGAGACTCGCTTTCATCCAAGTACCAAATTCTACGACTTGGACGTACTTATCAAACATGAGCTATTTTGGTACTTGGTAGCTGATACGATCCCGATCTTGTTATTTTTATTTAGAGTTTTTCAACATAATTTTTTTATTTCTCAGCTGGCCAGGATTACCTGCCGCCCTGCCTTCCCCAGCTTCTCCGTCGGCTGTCATAGTCTCACCGGAAACGCTCTCGAGACACAGCAGCAGCTCGCCATCCAGAACTCATCGGTCACCTCAGTTCGCCTTGGCACTTCCATGTTCCTCGCGACCGATTCCTGCTGTCTGCTATCCGGCACCTACGTTCCTACAGGTGACTGAAGACCGGAACTGGAAGCACCTAGGAGCGTAAGTATTGGACACAGTGTATATTATATATATATATATATAACGAAATCTAACGCTTCGCAACGTTGAATGAAAACGATTAAGCTATTGTCATCCTGACGGATTCATCAACCTGACCTATGAAATCGTCGCGACGAAATCGCCGGTCAACGGGCCGCAATTACCGACCACTTTGTCGATCGGATCTCGGCCGCTATAGGTTGATGTAGTCGACGATATTATATCATTGAGCCAATTCTTTCGTGAAGACTACTGTACGTTCGTCCATGGTATATTTTGTAAGAACTCGCCATTAGCCAGGAGGGGGAGCACTTTTTATATCGTGAATAAAAATGAGTATACTTATGACGTAGACCGAGGAGGGTTGCTATTTTCTTCTTTTTATTTTCTTCAATCTATCTTGTCCCTTGCTACATTTACTTTTTCGTGTATGTGCCTTTTATTTTACCTTTTTTTTTTCTCACAGAAACGCCTTGGCGACGACGCTCAGTGCTCTCTATGGGAAACTTCTGGTTGTCATGGGGATCGCCTTCCCCATGGCGGAAGTCATCTCTACTTATATACCACCTTCCTTTTACGAGGCGTTCTATCTTTATTTATACTTTGGCAGTATGATCTTTCTCTTGTATATGTACGCCATGTTGCTCAGGGATGGAAAGCCAAAACCGAGTAAGTCAAAGGAAGAATTATATTGCACGAGGTTGATTATTTGTCATTTACTTGTAATATTTATTTGTCCTTTTGTATTTTACGTAAAGAAAAACAAAGAGAAGACAGTGATCTGGATTCTTCCCAATCGTCCAGCGGCGCCGGTGGGGATTCTGACATACCGGAAACCGGATGTCCCCATATGACAGTGACGAAACCCGCCCAGCATTACGGTAGCTTTTATCTGCGAATGGGCGCAGTGGCTTTTGGAATCGGTTCGATGATTTACTCTGGTTTGGAATTTGGCCAGTATTTTGAATTAGAACGAAACACAAAATGCCACAATGTAATGCTGGCCCTGACACCAGCAACACGAATGGCCTTCATCTTCATCCAGATGTACTTTATCTTCTTGAACAATGAAGTGAGTACAGTATGTAGAGCCGTTTAGAAGACATGGAAATTTCCAGCACCGTACGTCCCTACTTCGCTTTTAATAAAGTTTAACCATAAAGAAATTCGACAAAGGAACAAATCGATCCCCTCTTGGCCATTGGATACGTGAATTCATCCCTTACCGTTTCACGACCCCGTTTTTCAACTGTGAATTTAAAGAGTTACCCTCGAGCGAGTCATTGGCCAAACTGTAATTCGTCCACCGAAAGCAACGACCCACCCCGTAAAATGCCTGCTTCCACTGCTTAATGAAATAGAAGGGTGAACATTTCTGGATTTCTGGCGAAATACGTGGGCACCGAACCGCGACGTTGCCACCCCCTATTCCCAAGGGTTTCTTGCTACATTTTTTTCTTCTCTTCTTTCCGACCACGTTTTATCACGTGTCAGGATCCATGGGCTTTCGTTTCGCGTATAGATTTTTTTTTTTCACCCGTAACCTGTGAGTGATGCGTACAGCTCTCATTTTTTGTCTTTTTTTATCTCCAGCAAATGAAGGTCTACAGACATCGGGTCGTCGCCCGATTTGGATTAATGCATATGATTGGCACGAACTTATCCGTATGGCTGAATGTCCTGGTGCAGGAGACTAAACACGAGATCCTAACATTTTACAATCCTGAAAATAATTCTCTGAGAATTTCACACAGACTCGGTAAGAATTTATATAATTACATAAAAGCTTAACTTCAGAGTAGATTTTAATGAAGGTAATATATCTCGAGACATTTGCTGCTACAGTAGTAACAATATGGAAAGTACAGACAATCTATGTAATTCATTATCGCAGTCTAGCAAACGTTTTGCAGCTCGAGCATTTTTACGATATACCCATATGCAGAACCTCGACAATAAAAGGGTCTCCCTGATAATATCAAATGCATCAGGGTCATGCGATATTTTTTAACCGTCTTGCGTCTCTCTATTATTTTCTCTATTTTTTAATCAGACACATATTTTAACCGGATACCAAGACGACGCTTACATGAAAATCATCAATAATATGTTAATTATTTGGCTTAGGAGCAAAACTTGGAATGCACTTGGGCGGCCACAGTCACGGGCATCACGGTGAGCATGTCAGACTGGCAAGAGGCCTGAAGGGACCACATCACATGTTTGAATGCAGAAGGACCAACATAATGGGTTCATTGGTCCAGGATGCAAGTCCTTTCCTCTTTCCCTGCACCATAGAATACAGTCTGATATGCGCGGCCATATTATACGTAATGTGGAAGAACATTTCGAAAACCAACGTAGCTCAACCAATGACACCACTTGGTTCCCATCATCATGCGCATGCATACAGGTGGGTAAAAGAGGAACAAAATAAGGATTAGTGACAGGAGGAGAAAAATTTGAAAAAAAAACACCTTAATTCTTATTCGCAGAAGGTCTCCTCATCACTACAGCGTGGACTGCGCCCGCGCACACAAGGGCCTCTTCGTTGGCATCCTGATCTTAGTGCTGACCATCATTTCCCTCATCCTCTTCTTCGTCCTGATCTCACGTCCAGAACTGGTGAGCCTGGCCGTGACGGAAGTAAACGTGTGCGAGCTGACCCTTTACGGGATGTCGACCCTAGCGACCCTGATAGGGATGTTCCAGATGCGCAAATTACGTTATGACGGCGGACGTAATTTAGAACTGGACAATATCCTCCTAGTAGCAGCGCAAACTGGAATGTTCATCTATTCAACGTTTACAATAATAGGAGGTCACTTTACTTTAGAGAAACATACAGTCCTTGTACTTGTGACGGCCCTGGCCAGCGTGATCCAGACTACGTGCCAGACTATTTTCATCCTGGATGCGTCGAGGCGCAGCGTCGCTACGGCTGAGCAGATAAGACGCAAACCAGGTCGCGAGATCGTGACCTTCCTCCTGGTAACAAATTTGGCCATGTGGGCCATCAACACCCTGGAGAAGTCACGTGCAGAATCTCATCCTGTACAGCTTCACTTTTATGGCCTCTGGGCCTGGACCATTATCACCCACGTCTCTATGCCCTTGGCTATATTCTACAGGTTCCATAGCACAGTGTGCCTCTGTGAGGTCTGGAAGAGGGCCTATAAGGTCAAACCTACTTACATGTGACGTAAGGGGTCAGAGGGCGTGTGGAAACTGGTTGGCAGGGCATCTCGTCCCAGGAATCTGCCGGCTAAGCTGGAAGCAATAGCCGAGAACGAGGCAGCCTATTTTACTTGAGATCCTTGTCGAATCTTTTATACGCACCTTAAGACACTCTGTCACATATGTTCGATATTATACTTGCATATGAATAAGTACGATCAAAGATCACTCAAATTGGAGTATCATTTCTAGCTGCTCTTATCGCTGGAAAGATTCCGAATTCCATTGAAGAAAAAAAAATATCCGTCTTCCACTCATCCAGAGAGTATACGATACGAATAGTTCTATAACGATGGCGTAAATTGAAACATCCACTAAATTATAATACCAGACTAACCTAACCTTGATCCAATTGAACAGCGATGTTCCTAACATAGACAGCGTTTTTCAAATAGTCTTTACTGAAGTTATCCTTTTACGAAAAATCACAAATCAAAACCCTTCGTTATTACTATAAATGACACAACGTTGTGCCGCACTTAAAAATTTTATAATTCACATAGCTGAGCATGATACAGGTATGAGCCTCGACCACCACATCAAATTCTGTGTCATATATTCCTAGAAAGTGCGAAGTAAGAGAGATAAAAAAAAAAGGAGAAAAAACTACAAGTACAACAGTCGAATCATATCATACACATATTATTCATACGTAAAGAAGCTCCGTCGAAAACTAATATATATTATATGCGTAGTATACCTATACAAATCTTTTGTCAATATCATCGCTAGAATACCGTTTTAGATACATCATATGTGGGATCAAGATTTTTGATTAGAGTCGACTAAGCGTGCGTTTTATATAATATACGAGGAACAGGATCCGCGTGATTGTGAGCCACAGGATGCGAATGCCCTACTCATATTTTTATGCTCAACTGACCTCTGTTAAGATGAGAGTATGTTACATATGGGAGCATGTTACTATAGCGAGAATGGAAATATAAGTGAATGTGTATGAGTGAGAGGGAGAGAGAGAGAGAGAGAGAGAGAGAGATGCATAGCACGCTTGAGATAATAATCGGACATGTAGAGAATTAAATGAGAATGAAAATGTGTGACTCGATGTAAGCGCATAAGAGTCGATAACGTATTCGAATCATATAGATGATACATGTTTTGTCCTAGGCGTTTTACATTATTACAATTTACATCGTATTACGATAGTCATACATGTGGAAGTGATCGAGCCAATTTATTTGTACGATAGTATCGATTAGTATAAAAAATATTTGTAAATAGGAAAGGAATCCTCTTCGATGTTTAGATATAGATCGTGTCGACATGTTTCTACCTATGATATATATATATAATATAAACACATATAAATTATATATATATATATATAATATATATATATTTATTATTGCGTTGTTCTATTATAATATTTATTGTAATATTACAATACGTTCATACGAGTATAAACGTTACGAATATTCCTTCGGACTCGTGTCGAGATGAATTTTTGAAAGAAATTTCTTTTTCCAAAGAACTTTTCGATCTCTCTGTTCTCATCTTGATTAATCAAAGACTTTTTTTCCATCTGCGTGAAAAATTGTGTCTATAACTCGTTGGAGCCTATCGTTATTGCAAGTGTCTTTGGAAAATATATATTTGCGTTGTTACGATTGTTGTTTTCGCGTTCAAGAATCTCGACAGGATATCCGGTGGTAACGGTCTTAGGAGAAATTTTATTCTCTACTCGTGACCGCCAATCAAAACTCTACACGTCACGTCTTTTTAAACGCTGTACTTCTTTTCTATGTCCACGTATTCTAGTTCCTATGCGATGTTTGTACTCTTATACCCTTTGTACTATTTGTACCTTACGAATTGCAATACAGTCGTCCGCAGTGACATGCATACTAAAACGTTATACATAAAAAATTAAATGCACATGAGATTTTGTCAAGTCAAAATTTGCATGTGTTTTAACTTACTGTACAGTGTCTTGTATAGTACGTACTTTAGTACGTAAAAGATAACAAGTACGTGCATACTATAGTGCATGCAGTATAGGTAGGTACAGTGAATGTATTCTCGTCTATACCGATACGAAAAAAGTAGCATCCGGAATAACGTTTACCGGATACCAGTAAAACCTTCTCGGTTGAATTGGCCAGGTTGAAAACCGGATGTAAAATTAAGCAGAACGATTAACGAATTTTCCGTAGCCTCGCAAGACGGATGAATTCTCATGGATTCGCATGAATTCAATCATCAATGATATTGGATAAAACAAGACATTATGCATATTGGATATTATGAGTGTTTCGCTTGTGCACTGTATTATACCTGAGGAATGCGTACCCTGCTTGGCATGTAATTACGATGTAATTATCAGTCTTAAAGGCTACGACGAAAAAGGGAAAAATCGGCCGATCGTTCGAAAAAAAGCGTATCGCGGTCGTCGAGTTGGCGACCTACATACCTGACTTCGATACCTCGCTCTTCGGCGACCTTCCTCAGGTACAAGGTTGCACGGTGGTCGACCCCCAAATAGAATCAAACGAAATCGAAGTGTACCGCATCGTCGGAATGACGCCTTTCTCTCTATACAGAAATATAACGTTGGTACAACTGAAATGGAGTGAACGTCGAGTGTCAAGACCAACGACACTGTTATTGGTAAATGTTGAGAGAAACGAAAATATTTTTTGCCCGCAACAGCACGGGTGTATATAATTATATATAAATACATATAATTATGTATTTTTTCAAGGGGCATCCTGGGTGAAACTTTCAGACTTTACTTGGCGGGTGTGTCGCTCTACGATTTCTTATTTGTGATTTTTGTTAAAAGTGCATAACCGCAGCTCTTGCATAAGGAAGCGTGTGAACGAAATGACCCCAGCTTTACGTTTGTTAATACACGTACTGTGTAGGTAGGTAGGTAGGTAGGCAGAGGCAGGCAGATAGATACCTAGGTACATCGGGTTAGGTAAATGGATTCTATGCAGGCTACGTACGGCTCGTAGGTTTCTGACTTTCCAGAGTCGTTACTAGCGGATTTATTATTTTCCACGAAGCAAAGAGCAGAGTCAGTCCGAAGATAATGACTGGTATACATAGTACTCCACGAAGAAGCATTATATTTACTGTCTAGAGTACACATAGTATTATTTACGTTAATAGAGTAAAACGACTATTCTTGAGCATCTCTGTATATAGATACCATGCGGAAAGAGGCCGGATCGTTTATGTTACAGCAGCGTCGAGCAGTCTGCCATCTGATAGTCTCTGGGGTGGGTTCCAGTAAATAAGAGCTAAATCTCGTTCCTGAGGGACGCATAACGTGCCACCGGTACAGCAAGGGGCGGAAACTACCCCAACGCACTAAAACGTACCCAATGGCCGTCTGAAGGTACAGAAGAGAAGTTTCGCAACGCGATAGTAAGTTTATTCAAATTTTGTTTCAAATCCAAGTTTTACGATCATCCCTTAAAATTCAACCCGAGTCCGTTGAACTAGGTGTATAAAGAGCATTGAGCGATATTTGATCTTCTAGCTGCAGCGTAGGTGCATTTGTGGTGTATTATACTACAGGGTGAATCCCTGTTCAGTTTCTAATGCGACGATATTCCCTTTCTAATAGGAAGGTTTAGTCATCGCCAAGTAAAAATGCTTGCAGCGCGTTATTGATCGCGTTTCCCTATTGCATGGGGGTGGCTATGGCCCACACCCCCATGAACATCCGCCATTAGAGCCATGGATGGCACAAGGTCCTCGGGCCACCCCCATACACGGAAGGCAACACAAGGGGTGATATAACCATAGGGCAAGGAAATGTCGTGTGCGCATGCGCCAATTCCTTGTTTACATCGGCTGCTACTCCTCGAGGACGTACACGCACCCACACGCAATAATAACCACGCACGATTTTCACGTAGGGCCAGTGAGCGGCTTCGGAATCGACACCATTATCGCTAAAAGTGCCTGCGTTTTAAATAAATAGTAACGGTATATAACCGGTAGGGATACGACATAATTAAAACGAACCGCGCGCCGTTCGTAGGGACGCCATTTAAAAATATCATCGAAGCAACGCCGTTTCAATTCTTGACGTTATCTTTAATATCGTCATCCCACTGTGAACCTGTGACAGCGCTGAAAATCCTGCTTTGCTTTTGTCGCCGATGGCAACGAGCAACACGACAACAACGACAACGACAAACGCGAGCAACTCTCGCCGCCCACGTTCTCTTCAGCCAATCGTTACTTAACGGCCGTGTAAGTATTCACTGATCTGATAGTAAACTCGTTAGTGTGTTCGCTAAATGTTATTGTGATAAGAGTATGAATACATTTAAGTACATCCATTAGTTGTATCGACAAAAATAATATAAACACTAACACAAATTAATGCTAGAAGCGTGAGAATTGATTTTCTTAGAACCGATGCCAATTTTAATGTTTGTCTGGCTTGGTACGGTACTATCAGGAAAGAAGTAGTAGACATTAAATATTGATTGGCTAGAGTCTATGGCTTAGGCGTTTCATTAGAAAGTAATTATTGTCAGTAACAGGACAGATTCTACCGGAACTATTATAGACACGTTCTGGATTCTTGCGGAAGGCTCAATATGCCAAGGTATCGGCATGAGATGTTATTTATTACACATTCTAGAGTCTCTCGTTAATGTGTATTAATGTCAATGGACAACGTTCTTCCTCGTGCGTTACGCTCGATGCCTTCGATCTAAATGGCGCAGCGTCGTTAGATGTTTATGATCTGCCGAAAAATCGAGTCAAGGTCCCTACGAGTAAAAGTCTTATTCGATATAACCAGATCGAGAAGTCACCGTTCACTACGACTTATGGCATTGAACTATCCCTGACAGGGTTATGAATTACCCGAACACTAATTTACACCTCAAATAGTGAGTGGATCACCTGGATGTACCGAATACTCGCAGAAAGACAATATATACGAAAAATTCTATAAATACCTTGATAGAAATGTCAGAAGCTATATAAGGTAGTAAACAATAATATTTATATTATCAAAAGCTTTCTGATCGGTTTATATGCTTTGTTATTACGTCATGTAGAATGATGATGAAAAACGTACAGATAAAACATGAACAATCGTAATCCTTTCGTGTTTCTCTTGCGTGTTGGCTATCCCCTTGTAAATGACTTCGTCACCCCCACCTTGACGAAGGTCTGAAACGCACAAACATAGCTCGGCGATCCGGCGCCCCAACAGTGACGACGACTAACGCGCGCGACAAAGCCGCTTCCCGACGCGAACCTTCGACGTCGGCAAGGAGACGAGCTTCCTATTGGCCGAGTGAAGGGAGAGCAGCGTTCTGGCATCATAAAACCAAGAGCTGCTTATTCGCGCGAGAGTAGCTTTCGAGAGCGGTGACGCGAGTGCCTTATATGCTTCTAGCCACTAGCAGAGACAGTTGAGAAGAAACGTATTTTTTCGTATCACAAAAAACGTCGGTCCTTCGTACACAAGCGACCATAATAAATCTTAGCATTGATTCTGAAGTTTGTGTAAAGTAAAAATAAATCCCTAAATACATCTGGTGTATTATTTACTGGTCTCTTTTCGAAGCAGTTTTTGGTCAGTTACATTGGATATTGGGAGCGTATAGAATTGAGAAATTACGCACGATGGAGGTAAGGGGTGTATGTATGTATATGCTGTGTAGTATTAAGGCAGTTTTCAATACTCGCGTTACGCGAGACCCGTCGACAGCGCTACAATCTCGCCGAAGCGTTTTCGATAGAGGAGGCATGCATCGTCGGTCGATCGGACGCCGACGCCGGCGCCGGGATGCTCACAGGTGGTCGCCACGCAGTCTGCCAATTCGTCCCTGTACGTGAGCCTCAGTTTTCGAGTTCTCCGACCGGGCGCGCATCGATTCTGGCTACTTCCGGTTTCCGTTTGTTGTGACGCCGTGTTACGTCCTTCCCGTTATTCGTTTACCGTGTGTTTTCACCCAGGATCCCCAAGACGGCGCGGATAAACTCTTCTCGTTGAACTGTTAAACTTTTTCTGTAAGTAAACTTCCTAACCTAGCAACCCACCGAGCGAGATAAATATTCATCAAGCTTCAAGTTGCATAGACGCCGACACGTCTAACTCAAACAAAAATTTGTTTTGTCCTGCCAATCAACACAAAATACATATACAAAAGTGAACATGTCATCATAATAGATACACCATCCACGATAGTGTCTCGTAATATCGTCCCAGTACTCACGATAATAATAGGATAAAAGGTTCAATTAAAAGTCTAGGAAATCTTCTATAGAAAGCCAAATAAGGCGACTAAGAATAAATACAATAACGATCACGTTTATCGTACACGACATCCTGATCAATTGCAGCCAAGAATAACAATGGTAATCTCAGCAGATAATAGCAGAATATTGTACATATATACAACGAGCATAACTTCTTTCTGGGGTATCAAACAAAGTTACAACCATTGACACCTCACTACCTTTATATTCAAATGGATACAGATTACTGAAGTGAAGTAATCACATCAAATATGACGTACACGTCAACAACCTCCTGAACATTTATCGTATTGAAATTTACGTTGAACCTACATTGATCGATCGGTAAGCTCTTTCTCTGGGTCTCTTAATTTTCTTTCTTTTATTCACTTCTCATTTTCCGTACACTCTTTCTCTCTCTCTCTCTCTCTTCCTCTTTCATACACCTATTTACACACAGGCAGTCACTCCCTTTCTACGTTCTATCTGGCTGACAATGCAATAGAGAGAGAGAGAGAGAGAGAGAGAGAGAGAGACTAGAGGGTTGAATGGCAGTCAAATAGTTTCGTATTTGCTGAGCCGCTCTCAGACTGTTATATCTTACTGCACGTACAATGCGTACCTATATATTTTTCCACGTCTACAGTTATATGAATATCCGTCCATCCGACCGTTTTACACGTGTAAACGTATGCACTCTTGATACGGAGGCTGTATGGGTTCCAAATGAACATAGCGAAGCCTTCTTCTCTATGACTGGTGTGCGGATCCTGATTAAAGCCTCGCGGATTTCTAAATATACGGTATGCATGGGAGCGACGCGCGTCAAGAATAGTATAGGCCGCGAAAGCGACAACAGCCGAGTGGCGCCGACAGTGGGTATCGCGACTCTCATACGCGGCATCGTCACGGCGGGCATTTTCGGGTAGGTCAGTTATCGAGATTGCCGTTCCCTTTCTTACTACCTTTTTCCTCCCCTCTTTCTTCCTCACACTTATTTAAGCTAGCTTGTGCATAAGGATTACATTGTGCCTGGATATATCCAGTCTGTGCATTTGTATAAAAAAAAAAATAGTAAATGCATAGCGTTTCCAAAAGTGTGGCTAAATATTAAATCCCATAGTTCAAAACTAAGAATAACTTCTAGGAACTAAAAGTATGGAATTTGATTTTTAGCCACACTTTTAAAAGCGCTGCATATTTCCCCTCCCCTTTTTCTATGCAGGGTAGATTCGGAATCAATTTTGTATATATCTACATTTATATGTTAGAAGAATTGGATCACTAGCAGATTATGGATTTTTGTATTTAACATTGCTCGATATTAAATATTTGCATGGCTTTTTTTTATCCCGCCTGAAATACTAGGATTTACTTGGGATATGGTCAAAGGCTGTAAACCATCGAGTGTGGTGTCCCATAATGATCGTAACACAAGGCGCCATATTTAGCGATCTTCTCTATGGGGAGAGAGTGAAGAGCCAGTCTATGATCGTGTATCCGGAGGGACAGTGACAATCTGATCGTGATTAAGATTGATGCTCAGGTGCTTGTTGATTCCCCTTTTGTTCTGCAATGTCAAGAGTATTAATTGTGGTCATTGATGTGTTGGGTGATAATTTATATATATATATTTATTGAAATGAATAAATATTAAACTAAAATGATACGCGAAAATGGTTCTCGTGAAATGATTTATTAAGAAATTTGATGAATGCTTTCAATTTGTTTTAATGACTTTCTTAACTTTCGAAAATTAATTTATCGAGGACTTTCCTTATAACGTGTTGAGTGATTACTTACTTTTACTTCTGGATTCCATGAATCCCTGTCAAAGAAATTTCTCTAGGAAACTGACGATCTTCTCGCAGTCATCCTCTAGAAAAACTAGTCCCTAGCCTAACTCACTGGCTGTTGACTGACCTGACTGATTGACTGAGTTATTACTGACTTACTCGTGCGATCGCCTTGTACTTACACCCCGGCACACTTGCAGAGCGTGAGAAAGCAAACGACACAGTCGAGGAGATGCAGCGCTGTCCATATCTCCATGAGATGAAGGAGCGTCTCCTCTCACAACCGACGCCTACGGACAGCTTAGACATGGAGCGTCTCGATGGGGGTGGTACCCCTGTCAAGGAAGTGAATCTACGCAATGATTATCCGGCCCATACGAATCCTGGAGTGATACCAGACCCACCGGAAATGCCGCCGGATTCTTTAATCGGAACGGTGGTAAAGGTCAGTAGAAAGGCAATAGAGTAGAGAAATTGAATTCATAAAAAAAAAGAAAAAATATTCTCGACTTATACGAGTAATCGAATGTTAATAACTTTAATAATTTTTTATTTCAGCTCAATTCCGACGGTTACGGTTCCCACACATCGCCTGCTCATGCGAGGCAACCCTTAGTGCCACAGAATACGAATAGCGCACCCTTGTGTCTTACCCCGACGCACGTGGGACCAACGAACAACAATTTGCCCAAAAATGCCAAGTGAGTTGATGCATTTCTTTCTTCTCTGCCTCTTCTACTGTGTCGGTCAATATATATTTGAAGCAAACAACTCGGCGAGTTTTCCGTCTAGCTTAAGTTTGAATAGTGGGAAGGAAATTTGTAAACTATAAATAGATAAGCTTTGATGCTGCCTCTGGCATTTTTAAAACTTTTTATCTCGAGCACTATTTGTATATCTGTAGCGCGTGGTCTGTGTATATCAGAGCAGTGGTACTGGGCGTATGTTGTGTATGCTTTTTTTCTTCTATTTGGTCTTTTACTCATGCTACTTAAGTAGCCGAGAACGTGGCCGATACTCATCGAATTATTTAACAAACGTATCTCTGGATCAGAGGTTTATATAGGTGCATGTATAATCTCTGCGTCACATACGTTCATATGTGGAGCATGATTGGTTATATTATATTGAGAGCATTGAACGTGTCGTAATAGACTCGAGCAAGGACGCCTCCTTGAGATTTATGAGTATTCATTATTTGCCCGTTAGCATAGTTGAATGGTAATCGACCATTTTTTTTTCTTTCTCGGATGATTCAGTAGCACGAGATTATAAGGATTATTGTTGTAAAATATACAATTTGTGATTTCTAGCTGATACATGCTCCACTTGAGAATTGTACGAATTATTCCTTAGAATTAACTACAGTGATCCCAGCTTCCGGTAATGTTTAATTAGTTAACTGATTCGGATTCGGAGCAGATCAAGCTGACAAAACGTTTGATAAGGCGAGACTCGGAATTTTGGACCGATAAGAAATCGCAACCGGTTACAAAGGAGTCCTCCATGGATTTTTGTGTTATGAGAGTGGATGATAAAAAAAGCACACGTTTCAACTGTGATTAAAACCTACACACTTTTTCTCAAGGGTTAATTAAAATTTTCCCTATTACTTTAATGGGATTTTACTAGTTAATTGAGAACTGCAAGTATTTTTGCATAAGAATTCCAAAGCGTCGATTTTGACTATATGACACCTTTCTCTCTATTTCTGTGGAATCGATTTTCTTTTTGTTATCCAATTTTTTTCTGTACTCTCGCTGCATCTTTCTTTCTTTCTTGCTCTTGCTCTCTCTCCATTTTCATCCCCCATCTCGATTCAACCCCTAGGAACGTCGGTTTAGTTCACGGAACGCGGATCGCGGCAGCACTGCCAGCAAGACTGAAATCAATACTAGCTGTGCGTGAGACGTGTGTTGTAGGAATCCTGGGACAACACAATATCGGTATTTCATGTAAATATACAAAACAGTGAAATATATTGAATAAAACTGATCTGGCTCGATCGATAACAATTAATAGTTATCGATAGTAAAAATGATACACTTAGAGATTCGACGATAAAGTAGACCTGAGATATTATAATTAAATGTAAAAAAATTAATAATAGTAAAAATTATCGACTATCACAAACCCCTGAAAATTTAGATATCGATAAGGATCATTAGGTGTATGAGAAAGAGAAAAAATATTAAGGGTGTTAAGTTAATGTACCCTGTGATTGAGCCTGAATTTACGAGGGGGGGGAGGTGACATTTTGGACTGCGAGAATTTTACACTAGAGAGAAAGGTCAGTGACCCGGGAGTGGTGACGTTATCGAGCGGGTCAGTGGGTCGCAGAATCCAGCGAGCAGTTTCCATCCTACCCCCCACTTACCACAACCCCTTCTTCAACCATCTCTTCAGCATCTTCCCGGAAGAGCACCAGTGACGGCACAGTTGGACGTACCACAAGAATTCCCGCCACTTTGAAGGAAATCCATACAATCTTGTCAGTCCTTAAAAAAAATCATTTATTTCGATACCCCGAAAACTTTTAATTGCTTTCGTCAATCCGAAAAATTGCTACAAAAAAATTGTAATCGATTACAAAAAAAATTTATCGATATCTTATCAACAAAATACATCATCCGTATCGATAAACGGGAATCGTCAATCGGTGCAACGGATACATAACAAACGGCTGAATGCAGCATCCCAACGAGTCTACTCCATGTTAAGCTGTCCCTGGCAGTCGTAACTGGGAAAACGAAACCATAGACAAAACGATATACGAAACGCGAGTTGTGCGCTGGCGCAAGAAGCTCCTGCCCGGGAAGAGACCCCCGGCCAGCCTCAGTCTCCGAGATGCTGGGGGCGGTGATCGTGATTCAACCCCCATTTCATCGCGTTCCGATAACACAGTCTTACCTGATACCTTGAGAGTACGTCATTCCTTGCCAACCACATAACAACGTCAACCCGTCCCACGTTACAATTAGACCGAATCTAATTAACCACATTTTTTTTCCCCATCTACTTGACACTTTGCGCGTCACGCGTACGCGTACGCACGGTCTTACAGTGTGCCCTCGCGTACCTACCCTTATCCTCATCTTCTAGACTTCGTCACCCTTTCTCGGCGTAACACCCTTCAGAGGAGTCTCCCGGTGCCGCAAGCCCTCGTCAGTCTTCGACAAGTCGCGGTACTCCCGAGCAGACTTCCTCGACGTCCGTGAACACCAGAGGGTTTTTTTTTGAAATTTTCACTTTTAGCCTATTCTCCACTTGCCCTTGTTTATAATAAATTCACGAACGTGTCGCGTGACGACGATCGTCGTAGTAAGCGTCGACGTCGACCCTGACGTCGTACGTCAGTCATCGGAGCGAGAGTGTTTGATCCTCGTGAGGAACGTCCACGGGAAATTTAATTTGCTCGTTGGAGCATGTGCGCGAGATCACAGGGACTTGTCGCTTAAGCAGCTCATTCGAGTGGGATACTATATACTCTCTTGTATAGCTTTGCCGTGGCTGCTGGTGATACATCCGGGGCTGATATTTATCCCTTGTTTGGTATTGGGGAGCTATTGGGACTTGGAGTCTCGAGTTTACCGAGGCTCTTCACTGGTTTTCGTAGCGGGGTCCGTTGGGGTGGAATGATTTTTTATACTTGAGCTTAACCTCGGTGCTTTTTACGTGTGGTGCGTGCCTAACTAAAGTTACGCTCTTTTGAACTTCGCTTCATTTTTACTGTTGTCGTCCGATCGTTTCTCTTGTTGAGGTCCGACCTACTTTCCGAGAGTTCATCTTGCTCGGCCTCACATTGTTCTCAGGGGTCCATTGAGGTTTCGAACTCATTATAGACACCCAGAAAGTTCTTGATCATTGGAATCATGAATTAAGAATGTGAAAAAGTAGTTTTTTTTTTACCCCATGGGTTCACTAGGAAAATTTTAGATATTTTTATCTCGTCTTTCGTGGGCGGAATTCTGCCCCCCCCGTTATGGAGACGTGGTATCTGACTCGAATGCGCAGGTCCCTCGGGGAGGCGTTTTAGGGGGAGGGAAAAAATCAACCTCGACGCGAAACACCCTTTTCTCGAAAGTCCACCATTTCGTGAATTCCCAATGTACCGTGCGATTTCATTAATGAAGATTACACTGACAAATCTTTCCTGTTGAATTTCCATAACAATTCTCACTTGTCCGTTTTTAGTTATTTTCGAGGGGTTTTCCCGTTTTCTCAGTAATTTTTATCAACAGAAAATTGACAAAGACTATTTGGAAATCGTACAACTGCCGAGGCCATCCTGTAAATTCTCAAAATAAGAAAGAGGGACCATAATGGCGGATTAGGTAAATCCACAATTAGGGTTTGCGACCCTCCAGTAAATCCCTGTCGGTACCAATAAAAAGTGGCGTGGTTCCGAAACGTGAACTGCTGAAGGAAAAAAAAAAATAAATCAAGCTGAAGCGGGGCGAATTGGAAGGTAAAAAGAAAATGGTGGGCGGCGGTGATTGCAAAGTGGCCACCGTCGAGGTGGAGGCTGCCGCTGCCGGTGACAATACAGCGACACTTCCGGTAACAAGACCCCTGAATCCCCAAAACGTCGGTGCACCCCCAAACGCGCAAGACAACGCCGAGAAGAACAACGCGGCGAACAAAGAGATGGAGCTGAAGAACGTTCGATCCACCCCCGCGAAGAAGTAAGCGACTATTTTCCACCCCCCCGTAGTGAATGTCGAGATCATGCGCGAAAGAGACAAAAAGGAGATAAAAAAGTAAGGGTAGAAAAATTTCATTGAAATATAGGATGCACTCTCAGGCAAAAGTGGAATCCACTCGAAAACATCAAGTTATGGCTTTCAACATCCCCTATACCGCCAACCCCTCGATCAAGTACATATGTACAGATATATTTTACGCAGGTCTAGAAAGCAGAAATTTTTAATAATATATATACATATATACATATATACATGCTCTACTACTTTTGTCTTTCCTACGACATGGAAACTCGACTCGTTAGCAAATAACGCCCTGAGGGGTGCAAAAGTTAAAAATGAGTTCGGACTAAGCCGCGTAGTATAACTGTGTATGAAAAAAGGGGGGCTGAGAGGTTTAGGTTTTAGTTACGTTTCTATTTACGACATCCTTCGTTAAGCCCAGCAGACGCAACGTCTCCGTGCAA